AGAAACCCAAAACTTGGCCCTTTTGGGCAAGTGGCTCTGCAAAGTAGCTACCCAAATAGACACCAGGATCTGGGTGGCCATTCTGGAATACATCCTGCAACAAGACTTCGGCCTCTCCCACCGCGAGGGCATCTGGGCATGCATCTTTATGGAATCCTTCCTTCGGAGGCGCCCATCCTCGATCCTGGCGAATGCATGTTGGACCGCCTGGAAAGCCCGCCAACTAATGCAGGGGAAGAAGCCGGTTACACAGGAGGAGGTATTACAACAAATACTCTTCGACAATGCCCTCATCCTCGACTCCTGTGGGCATCCCTTCCGAGCAACTCGCTCTCCTCACACCTTCGGCAAGACATGGACAGAGCGAGGCATAATCCGCATAGCAGACATCTGGGATGAGAATGCAAGGGACTGGATCACAGAAGGACAATTGAAAGCAAAATTGCGACATCTGCCCCATGTCCCCCAACGGAGACAACAACTCATCAATGCCATCCCAACAGGTTGGGCAACTTTGTTGTGCAGTACAGACCCAACTCCTGGAGAATGGTACACCACCAGACAGGAGGGAGACACCATGGAACAGATAGTCAGGTTCGCTCAAGACTTGGAAGTTGGGCTCTGGCTGGCCCAGCAATGGAGCAAGCAAGCGTCCACAGGCAAGCCCACAAACATTATCAACCCAACCGAAGTCTGTATCGATAACCAGCAGCCTCGACAACTCATCCGTGTCCATGTACCAGCACAATCCCCTTAGGCGGTTACACCGATATTGTTATCAGAAGGGAAACCACTTCGCAGCTTAAGATTGGATCCACTGGGACACAGTTGGAACCTCTCAGGAGGCCAATAGATCTTCCCCTTCCAATACTCGTCCAAGTGGGGCAGGCGAATCGTCACAGAAGCAAAGGATTTACCCACTAATGCAGCCAAGAATCTTAACAGGCTATCACAAGCTCATCCCCCTCTAGAGTCGCGCCACGTGTCACTCTTGTGGGATCAAATGAAGGCACTACCATCACAGAAGTTAGCTGCCTTATCATGACTCTTGTCACACACGGCCATCCCATGCTCCATCTGGCTATTTGAAAAGGGTATGGATATTCACACCAAATGCCTCATATGCGGGGGACACGCAGAGGAGTCCTTGCAGCACCTGTTCTGGTCCTGTCCTGCCTCGAGGAGATTGTGGATATGGTGGGGAAACCATTGGGCCTCCTTCGTGGGTGACCTGCACCCATGGAATGAACAGTGGGCACTCCACGGCAAGATCCCCCCTTCCTGGTTCAAGCATGCGGGCCGAGGATATGTGGCCCAAGCGATCCGATCAATCCTCCTTTGGATCATATGGGAAGACATAAATAACATTGTGTTCAAGCAGAAATGGACCGCCGAGGCTGCAATCATCTCCAGGACCAAGTCTTGGATCAGAATAATGATCAGAGTCGACTGGATCAGGAGGGCCAGACAGGGCCGCTTCCCACGAGGCAGGCATTGGTTCCTGGTTACATGGGCCCACGACAACAAGTTAGCAGCGATAACACTCGCCGGTCAGCTCGTTATCTCCCACTGGCTTGGTGCTTAGGTTCTCTTTCTCAGTCCACAGTTTCACCTCAATATCTTCCCAACCTTCTCTGATCCCCTTTCTCATCCTCCCTCCTCCCTTCTTCCTTCCGTCCCTCCCCCTTCCTTGTCTTTTCCCTAATTAGTAGTTACAGCAGGATGTTTACAGTAGTCATGGATGTAGTATTGGTAGATGTAGCTAATAGAACAGTAGATGGTAGCAATAGCAATAGGGACTGTTAAACTAGGACACTTGGTTGGTCAGAGCCACAGTAGGCTAGTTGCAGCTGATAGACAGAGGAGAAGAGGGAGGAGAGTGTCGCACCCAATAGGGGAGTTCGGAGTATCTGACTCCAACCAGCCGTTTTAAGGCCGGTTATCAGGCCGTTCATAGGCCTGTGCATTTGCTTCATCCCCACCTCTAACCTACCCCCTCCTCCACTCCCTCCAATTCCCTTTGACACTCACCTCCCCCAATCCCCCACCCCCCCATCTCCATCTTTCCCCCCTACCACTAAACTTTTCCCATTGCTCAACCCTCTTTCTCCACACTCCCATCCCCTCCCTAGGCAATTCAACCAACTCACTCCTCACCCAAGACCTAAGTTTTCGGAAAAGAACACCGCCCACCTTACTCATAGAGCAGTCATAGAGCAGTCTACTCAGAATACAGTTCGGAAGGATTTCGGGTCCAGTGGTCTCATAAAAAAGCATAAGCTGGCCAATGCTGCCCGAAGTTCGACCGGGTTGATTAAGAGGCGTAGGGCAGAGAATTATATTGGATGAGTTTTTTGGCGGCATTTCAGTATCCCAATCTGCAGTTCAGGATCAGAGGTCTCACCTGGGTTCCTGAATAGGGCCCAGAAGTGGGGCCAACTCCGTAGGGATTGTCCCTGGATGAGTACTCTTTGTTATAAATGGATAGTAGCCAAGAGCACTCATTACGCTTTGATTTTCCATTCCCCCACTTGCCGCACACGCTGAGCTGAGTGGCACGTTCCTGCACGGGTGGGCGACAAGCTGTGAGTATTGGACTTGGAGGTTTTTTCCCCGTTTCGCACGGCGAAACTCGTTTTTCTTCAGGGCTTTGGTAAGTGCCGAAAGCAGGGAAACCTAGGAACAGGAACTGAAGGGAGGGAGTTTGCAGGGATTTCAGGGGCGGCGGGCAGGTAAAGGAGATCATTTGCTATTTAAAGAAGGAAGGAACTTGAAAAGGTCTCTTTTGGCTGAGAGATAACGCTAACCTGGTGGCGGCGGAAAACTCAATGTCGTGCCTAACTTCGTTACTGCGCAATTCGAGTCCGACTGCAAGTCAGAACAAGTGTGAGGCGGCGTAGAACTTAATGCCGCGCCCGTTTCGGGGTTCGGCAGTGAGTTGAAATTAAGTGTGGTTGTAGGAATCCGAACTAGGGTGCGGGAAGGGAGGTCGTGCAAAATCGTTGAGATTAGGTAAGGGTACTTGGACTCACGTTAGGATCGAATACGAAAATTAATGTTGGAAGAAATTTGCGCTTCCCGATCAAAGGAGGCGCGGAGAAAACTAAATAATACACGACGTCGGTGTAGCTATTCCTTTCGGCGGCCCCTCGGGGCTGCCCAGCTCCTCGACGCTCCGACAGAAGAGAAGCGGCGACGAACAAAGCCATTCGTAGGACGAAATACGCAGCGGGGTGAGCGCACCTTGCGCGACGAGCGAAAGCGGAGCAGAGGAAATACTACTTGCACGACGAAAGAGAGAGAGGGAGAGAAGGGGGAAGAGAGAGAGAGAGTGTGATCTAAGGGAGCGGCTGAAGATATGACCGGGGAAGGTGAGTCCGGCTAGGTCTTTCGAGCGGACTGCTCGGCGATCGGCTTCGGCCGGCCGCGAAGGCGGACAAGGACGATTGCCGCAAAGGGTTATTGCGCAGGACATTGCCGGAGCGGTAGGCGAAGAACTTCGATCAGCGGTGAGAGGGAAGAAACCAGATCCTCTCTTGTGAAGGAGCAAAGCGATGTGGGGAGAGGAAGTTAGGTTTAATATTGCGTGAAGAACTAAGTCTTGCGGGATGTTAAGACTGAGTCTCTCGCATCAGTTTGCTCCTTCCGAGGAGATAAGACTAAACTGCGCGATGCACTATTCATAGGAATTAGGACTTCTTCTTTAAAATCACCGCTTCCTCTTATCTCCCTTTCTCCTTCTCAAGTTCTCAATGCTTGGAGGGGAACGAGGCGGGGGGCGGGGGGGGCGCCAGCGATGCTTTGATTAATCACGAGTCTTACTCAGATTGAGCGATGAGCGGGGAGGTAGTAGATGGATTCAAAACGGCGATAAGGATTATCATAAATTGATCTTGGTGCATCGCTTGACGAAAAGCTTTAGAGTTCGCGTTTTTTTTAACTCTGGTCGCTTTCTAACCTTCTCCCCCTTTTCCCCAGGGCGCGCTGACTTGACAAGAATGGTGAGGTTCTTACCTACTTATCAATGGCAAAAATCGACGATCTGGCTCGCACTAGGAACCTCTTTCCTGTTATTGATATCAAGTTCCGAAGGTGATTGACGACATATTCATCCGGATTTGATTGCCGCCAGATTTATGTAGAGAGATCTCACGTAATGATGTCCTCAGTGGCAGTTGGGTCTGCTTTGATTAATTACGTCCGCAGTAACATCGCACCTGCGAACGGAAGAGACTGGGACAACTACTCGCTGCTCTTCTCAACAAGGTCGACTTGAACCCGCAGTTGATCATGACCTTGCTGACCGCTAGGGGATTTCGGAGTTTTGGAAGACGAGGAAAATCAAAGTAGTAATCCGCAGAGCTTCTTACAATTCAAATTCGATTGGGCGTTGAACACAGTAGTAGGCGGGGAAATCAATGAAAGTCGCAGATTGGTTCAAAGTGCTATTCAGGTAGGCGCAGATGCTCTCTAGCGCAGTCCGATCCAAAGCAATCTCGAGCAAGGGGAGAAAGGAGGAGTGGTACAGCCTGGCGAAGGAGGCGAGGAGAGGTTCGGGCGTTTTGACAAGAAAAGACAAGGAAGGGAAGAAGGAAGTCCAGTGGCTGTCTGCTCAACTAAAATCTCGAAGCAAGGATGGTATGACGGCTTAGAACGTAAGAAGAGAAGTGATTGTAATTACGTTTTTTCGAATCTGGTCGCTTGTTTGCAATCGGGAGTTAAGTCTGGTTGGTATCGCCTTTCCCATGGAACCCTGGGAAGAAATGAAAACTTGGAAGTAAACGGGAAATGCTCGAAAGAAGGGGCATTCAAGTCGAGATAGAAAGGAGAGTTCATCAATCGATTCCTAATCCTCGAGGAGCGAGTCGAAAGGTAAGTCCTTACTTCTGAGGTCAAGGATCCAGACGCCATGATGATGGGTCTGGCCTTTAAAGTAGGGGGAAGGGAAGGAGACTGGAGTTCAGTTGTACCTAGATCGGTGGTCGACGTTTACGGGGACGAGGCAGGAGAAATGTTGGTGAGATAGTGGGAAAGGCTGAGTATGGCGGCGGAAGGGGTGTTTGCCAACCTCGCTCTCCATTCGAACTTATTCGACATTCAGGTTCTGGATCGCTGGAACGAAACTCTTCTGCAACATCTTTCGCAACTGGAGTAAAGAGAAGTTAAGGGCGAGTTTTGGAAGGGAACAAAGGCTTGAAATAGAAAAGGGATTGGATGTGTTGTTGACATTTCTCAATCGAAATGCTTTCTGCACTATCGATAGACCTTCAGGGAAAGGAAGAATTTTGGTCGTCGAAAGAGCGTTGATCGAAAGGATGTTGGATCATTGGATAGTTGGCGAATTGCTCGCCGGTTTCACCTTGGCCAGAGTTTTTGGAAAAATGATCGATGAGTTGAATGAAGAAGAATTGGAAATCGTGAAGGTGGCCTGCGAAGCAGAAAGCAAGGCCTGGAAGGGCAGAGGAAGATGGGATTTTGCGGCGTTGGGGATTGTCATTGCCCTCACGGGAGGATCGAAAAGAGAGCTGGTAGTAGGGCTGTTGAGCGGAATGGAGGCGGAACTATGGGGAAGATGTAGAGTCACCACGACGAAAGCTCTCATCACGAAGGTATTAAAGGAAGCCAGTAAGGAGGAGAGGGATTCGTTGCTATTAGAGGACCTTTTCAAATTTGGGGAAGGTGCTTGGATAACTAGTCTTGGCTGTAAAAGGCTAGGACTAGACTTGAACTCTGTCTTCGCAGGTGGAGGAGGAGCAAACCTGAGCCTCGCATTCTCCAGGCGTTCGGTAACCAAACGCTGTGCGCAGGACGAGCGCCCGGTTTTTATACCTTTGTCGACCGCATCCCCAGCAGATAGCACGGATCCGGAGCAAGACCTTCGCCAAGGGAAACGCCAGGTCAACAGCCAGATCGACGCACCTCGACGCAGGCCCAGCCCTCCGAATTCACCTCCCGAATCCGGAAGATATCTGGACATGTCCTAAGCCCACTAAGAAAAGATTTTGCCTCAAAGGGCCTGCTTTACTGAATTCGAATTCCGTGTGAAGCTTTGAACTAGGAATCATTAAGTTCAATCCTACAAACCAGCTCGAATAGAAAGTTAAAACTTTGGGAACCCTCAGAATTTCTATCAATTTTAATCTTTTCTTCCACTACCTTCAATCTTTGGTATCAATCTGTGAGCGGGACCCTGAATTTAGGAGATCTAGTCGGAAACACGAGAACTTTCCTTCTCCCTCTCACTCCACGCTCCTTCCCTACCTCAAGCTTACTTGGTCCGCTCTTCGTAAAATGAAGAATTCCTAGTCGGTCTAATCCCCGATTTCAGCCTTTAATGCATGACAACTCAATCTTAGCACTTTTTTTATTGAAACGCATCATCGCCCCC